TCGCAGCCTTACCTAACTATATAATGCTCACCTGTTGACTATTTACAGGTGACTTCCTTACAGTTCAATAGTTGTAAATTACATTTTCTTGGGAAACATTTACACCGCCACCGTGGCTTCCTTATGTTGTAAGAGATGTTTTTTGTGGTCCTCTTTTTTATGTTTTTATTCATAATGACTTCCTCGTTCCTCGCCCTCTACCTCCACACTGCCGAGTCTCGCCCCTAGTAGGCGAACCATCACCGATATAAGTGGTGCCGTCGGTTGGGTAATTAGATTCCTTACGAAGGTTCTTAAATCAGGTCTGGGCTGTTGTAAGAGGATCTGCGAAGTAGTTGATCCCACCTAAAAAAAAAATACTGTGGTGGTCAAACATCTCAGCGGAGATGTTGGAACTGTCTTCAGGGATCACTTACATGTGTTAGTTGTTAATTTTAGGAACAATGACCGATATAATTTGAGAATCATCCCGAGATTGTCACCTAAGATGGAATATGACACTCCATCTACAGTAAAATAAATTTAATTGTATATTATTCTATCCTAACTTTTGTACCTGGGTAGTAAAATATCTTTCTTGAAATGTTTTTTTGGGGGGTTCAAGAAAGATATTACAATAAAAGTGAAAAAGTACATGAAAACGCGTATTGATTAGAAAGAAATTAAACTATGACCTAATATTCAAACGCTCTGATTTTAAAGTAATCAGACTTTAATTTGATTCACGTTGCACATTCCTTTAGCTGCCCTCTAGTACTGGTTGTTGGAACGTGTCGAGGTAAGAAATAATGTTGGAAACATTCCTTCTTGACCCCCCCCCACCTCACTAAGTAACAAGCTAAAGGCTTCAATGTGTGTGTGTGTGTGTGTGTGTGTGTGTGTGGTTAAAAATCCATTTCTAATGTCTCTTAGGCTTTGTTTCAACACAACAATTTCTGATTTACTTAAATATCTTCAGTATCATAACCATGAGTAGTGTGTGCATTCCATTGATTATGCAATACTCATCTTTGTTGATGTAATATACTCATTTTGGATTGGATGGTGACTCATGGTGCAATAATATATTTTTTTTATTATGGTTGATACAAACACGAATAAAATAAAATAAAAATCCGATTTAGATCAAATAAATCATTTTTTTTATTAAAAAAAATATCATCAACCCGGTCTTCAAACAACACCCACACATTCGCTCATGACCCAAGCAGCCATCGTCTTGCACGGGGCTGACTGGTGAACTAACCAAAGGAACAAAAAACTCGCCACTGGGGGCTCCGTCTTGACTTTGCTTCTGTAGAATGCAAAGGTGTAGGGATAGACCGAGATACAGAGGGTGTAGAATAATGATGAGCGACGTGTCTGAGACGAAGAAAAAGAAGAGAGAGAGAGAGAGAGAGAGATCGTCATTCAGTTGATTATGCAAACAAAATACTATGTATTTCTCCATTTAGGAAGTATTGCTTTTATTATGAGGAATGTCAGCGTATCCTGTTATGTATGTTATTGTAATGAGGAATATTGAATATCCTATTTTGTATGAGGAATCATATTCTGATATTGCACACACACACACACACACACACACACACACACACACACACACACACACACACACACACACACACACACACACACACACACACACACACGCACACACACACACACACACACACACGTAGATCATACAGTATATATTATAGCTTAAGGTCATGTACACAGTGAGACAGACAATACCTGGTCCTTAACGTCATAACAAAGGACGGTGTCATTATTTGTTGTCTATCACCTTCCTGTTGCTGGCCAGGTGGTGTTGGAGGACGTGGTCTTAAATGGGGTGTTGGAGAACGTGGTCTTTGGGTGATGTTGAAGGATTTGGTCTTTGGTTGGTGTTGGAGGACGTGGTCTTTAAGGGGGTGTTGGAGGACGTAGTCTTTGGGTGGTGTTGGAGGACGTGGTCTTTGGGTGGTGTTGGAGGACGTGGTCTTTGGGTGGTGTTGGAGGACGTGGTCTTTGGATGGTGTTGGAGGACGTGGTCTTTGGGTGGTGTTGGAGGACGTGGTCTTTGTATGGTGTTGGAGGACGTGATCTTTGGATGGTGTTGGAGGACGTGATCTTTGGGTGATGTTGGAGGACGTGGTCTTTGGGTGGTGACCTTTCACACAATAGGTCACTTCCACGGTAATGTAACACCTTAATCACCATTACACTGCTACACCTTAACCACAATTATACTCTGTTTCTTACTTTCTCTCCTGTCCACGTAATTAATTCTCTTTCTAAACGTCACTTGTGTTTATGTCAAGAATAATAAAAGATCACAAGGCCTTAACTTTCCTTGTTTAAGTGCTTCAATTATTTGAACTGTTATTTTTCATATCTTCTTTGTTTCCTTTCATCTTCGTTCATATATATATATATATATATATATATATATATATATATATATATATATATATATATATATATATATATATATATATATATATATATATATATATATATATATATATATATATATATATATGCTTATTTGAACGTTTTTCTTTGGTTCACCTATACCCTTCTTATGGTACATAAGCTTCCCACAACTCTTATAAAAGAGCCCCCATCCCTATATAGCACCTAAGTAAACCTGTATCATAAGTCTTCCTTGTTTCTATAGCAACTTTTTCGCCATCAAAATAAAGAAAAAATGGATAGTTGGCCCCCCTGTTAGGAAGATGACAAAAAACATGGCTTGTGTGTGGCCTTGATCAACCTAACCGAACGGCATATGTAGACCGACCCCGAAGCTGCTTTGACCATGAAGAAATAGCGTATCTCTAAATTTCTATACAACAACAACAAGAGTCTATGTCTTATGTTTTTATATTATATATAACATTATACAGGACGTTTCTATATTTCACTATGAAGCAGCCAGACTTAGAAAGACAGAGAGACAGGCAGACCAGACAGACGGTATTATGGAAATGATATGTTTTATCTTTCAGTTAGCCAACACCAGGAAGTATTATAACCTCTGTGTTTTCTTAGATTTTTCTTGTCATTAATATCGTTCGTGTTCTTTGTTGTAGGCTTCAAGGAACTTCCTCACTCAGTCAACAAGGTATTCTACGTAAGATCTACTTATTATAATAAAGTCACACTATGGTGATTATTCTTGAGTTATTAAAAAAAATAAATACTTTCTCAATGTTAAAACTTAAAAGTTTTTTGGACACCGAATTATAAATATGCTATTGTCTGGGTAAATATTTAGTAACGAAAAACCCATAGTCATCAATATCGCAATACTGATGTATATGAGCATTATAACGAAAAAGAATAATAAGAAGACTAATTAAAAGTTAATTTAGATCATCACATTATACATAAAAGTTTTATATCAATTTAAGCCACAAAAACTGCGGCCAAACAAAATATATCCTTTCGAAGAACGTAATATTTATTGCACTTATCGGATGGACATTGCAAAGGAAAAGTGAAGTGATTTACCCAGTCTCAGGGTCATAGACGGAATTAAAAATAGCCTCCGTCCTGGTCGTTGTTGACGTACGTTTACTGGTTATATATAAAAATATCTAACACTTGCTGAGTGTAATAAGTGAGCAAAATATGAATATATACAGGAAAGAGTTGAGAAATACACACAACAACAAAAACTATCGAAAATAGATCGTAGTATAACACGGATGCTCGTTTGATACTGTAAGATTTTTAGAATACCAGGATTTTTTCAGTATTAAGAATTTTGAATGTCCAGGAATGTTGATGTGTGACGACCTCTGATTGTCTTACTTTTGTGTTATGTAAATTCTACGAACAGCACAGTTTATATTAAAGCAGGATTTATCAAGGCGTTCTTAGACATCCTCCCCCATTCTGTGTCCAGGTGAAGATACAGTAAAAAGGTATCCCCAAATATCTTATTTCGTAGACTTGTTTTTGTTGAATATCTGATCGTTGGAATGCTGTCCAGATTATACGCGAGTGACCTGGATATTTCTTTGATAACATCTTCAAGCAAATTATCTTTTATCAGTGGGTTGTGTAGCTGTTCTATGAGAAACCCAACACGAGTAGTGATTAAAAAACTAATTACCTCACACAACTGTCAGGTAGAGTATCTCCACCCAAATTTGTCAGAGACAAAAACTTGCTGCCCCTCCAGGACCCTCTCGTGTTCTTTGTTCCGCCATCGACTTGTGGAGTTTGTTCCTCGACTACCTCAGGTTCCACTCTCCTAAATTTATCCCATGCTGTTCTCCTTTTGCTTGATCTTCTGATGATGGAGTGCGTCTCATGGTGTGTGAGATAGAAGATCCCATCTGTTTAAGAATAATTGGGAAGACTTGGAAGTGGGTGAAAGAAAACATACTATGTTTATGATGTAACCTCAAGAGGTCGTCTACCTAAAGAGAAAAATGTCGCTCGAGCACTCTTGCAGCACAACAATAGGACCGGCTGGTGTCGTTGTACCTCCAAGAAAACAATAATAAGGATTGGATGCTCAGTAGCTTTCCTTCTTTTGAATAAAGACTGCGAGAAAAATTAGCTTTATCTTAATGGTCGTAGTAGACAAGATGCTAATTTATGAATCAATATCGGTGATGTGCTTGATATCCTAGAGTGAACGAATGAACCTCAGAAGCTATTTTTTTTATTTTGTTCGACTGAATTCGATAAACGAGTCAAGGCTCTCAACAGCTGACCAATGTTTCTGGCAGCAAGACGACAGTGTCCCCATGACTGGCCGCTGTTATTGTCGCTAAGGCTGTCAACCTCCAAAATGACTCTCTACCTCTGTGACGTCTCTATCCTCTCGTCTTTTTGCTCTGGTATCGCATTACAGAACCTTGCTGGATATATAATCATTGACGCCAACGCCTTTATAAACACAATTACATCTATAAATCAATATGCTGTTGTGAAAATTCATGTACTCAATTTCATAACTGAACTTACTGATATAAGTGTTCTTTTTCTTACAGACCTGACCTGTCTGAATCACGACTAACGTATTAACAAGTGTTGGATACTTCGCCTGCGTCACAGAGGCAGGGGAGGACACCCACCCCACCAGAGGCCACGCCCACATCCACGTCTCCTTTCACGCCCATACTTGATTCCTATTCCAGACACTTCTGTTACAACATTCCCTGTCGTCGTGGTGAGTACTAAAAAGTTGTCTCTCTTTCCGTGTGCACGTAATATCTGACCTATGAAATATTGGTTGGGGAGTCGGAGATAACCTTTGACGAACACTGAACGAAACTGAAACATCAGGGAAGTGACGCACTATACTGTAGTACTACGACACAGTAACAGGTATTGAAAAGAGTATCAATCACTGACTCGGTCTCAGTAGATTGTGAACTCGTGGCTGTGACTGGGTTACAGGTGCCCCTGGAAGTACATTGACAACCCTGATCCTTGTCGCACTCAATGTAAACTTTTCGGTCCCACAAAGTTATCTCCGCATACCTTCCCTCACTACATCCTCGCATGTCTTGAGACCTCCTCCTACAGGTCGCCAGCTGTCACCATCACCTCGTCCTTCGTTGTCCAAATATTCCTCCTTCTAGAGACAAGTCTGGTGGCACTTGACATTGTTAGGGACCTGCCTATGTTTGTCATAACAAATGAGCTGTAGAGGTAATCCTCCCTCCATTCACTCATTCTCCCTTCACTACGTGTGACTTGCTAACGCAACCAATAGCCCCTCAGGTATTCACGACCGTAAATTGTTTAAGTTACAGAAGGCAAGCATGAATACGCTGCTTCCTAGTTGGACGCTGTAATGCTTCTACTCTTCCCCTTGCGCTGCGTGGAACAAATCTAAATCTAAATTTGAGTCAGAATTGTTTTAGGCTCTTTGATTGTTGTTCGAGTAAAAACGATACAGAGAAACGGAGTGAATAGATGAATAGTGTGGCTAGAAGGACTGTAAAAAATGGTAGATGTCGTGGGTAGCACCAGTGAGTCAGGTAACAGTTATCTAAGGCTTGATGGCGCCGGACATATGGAAAGTTCCATAGGTAGATTTCATGGAAAAAGGCGGTCTTATTACCGTTGAAACTAACTTGTAAACACTGCTTTTTTTTAGTGTCACAAAAGGTCGTGTTACAGCCTCACTTATCGCATAAACTTCGACAGCATAGTGGCGAGGACATTTACATTTTCGGAACTAAAGATCATCTCACACTCCTACACTGATACACAGATTATATGACTACATTTTTATTATAAAGACAAAACACAATTAAGGCACAAACACTGAACAGGAAACATTTAAACTAAATGTGTTCATAACTTTTCAGCGGTGCAGTACATAATTACCTCCAACTAAATTATATGGGGAAAACTCCTCATGACCGCTCTCTCGTGATGGTGTAGAAGCAATTACAAAAAACTATTGCAATATTTCACCGAGGCACCACACACAGGCCTTGAAATTACAAAAAAAAATAATTTGAAAACTGTTGAAGGAAGTACTCGGACGGTGATCAAATAAAAGTAAAAAGAGCAAAGTGTTCGCTCTCACAACACACCTCTTCATACAACTGTTCACCCACGAGGCTTCTTATGTTAATTCATTCTCATATACTCTGGAGTTGCATACTTCGTCCTGACCATTCTTGATTATAATAGAATGCCAAACAACAGTTCCCGCAATTTCTCCTCTCACCAATATCACCTGTAACGTCATTCGTTACTCCCTAAAGCATTACTTGTCTCACCTAAATTTTTGGTCCAGTTACATATGGTCCCCTCGTACAGTACATACTCAGTGTGGAATGTGAACATTTGACTCCTTTACCTAAGTTACTGGTGCTTTACCATTTACCTGTATCGTCTCAAGTAAGGACAAATTAATTAAGATAAAATAAATATTCTCCAATAAAGTAATAAACACAATTACGAACAATTATTAATGTATTAAATATAAGAAAAAGACAATATCTTATTAAAAAAAAGTACTTATAACAATTCACACTGACTTCAATTTCCTCTGACACTAACTTGTCAACTGGAGAATTAAGAAACACGCCTACATCACCTGGAACTTCCTGTAGCACTCCCTCACACCCTCACTCCCCCTCCCATCATCTACCTCACCAGCAACACCCTATGACGTTATCTCTTTACCAGGAACGTTAACAGCATCTCGACAACACCCCAAACAACCTTTACCACTCCTCAGTTATCATCCAAATAAAGAGTAACTCACACCCGTACGTAGAACTGTTCACCATGCATGTGTTATCAGGAAACTGCCAACACATATACTGCAGAAAACGCTGATAAATATTATGAGGTGTACAATAAGTGAGTGATAGTGTTTTTTTATCTGTATGGATCAAATTCTGCAATGAGATAGTTACAGGGTATATAAAGTCTGTAGTACGGTAATATGTCATACATGATTATGATTTTTTAGTGAACACAATTCATTTATTCTTTCTCCAGCTTTAAATGAAAATTATTTAATATATTGAGAACGATGTTATTAAATTCCAAGTGTATATTCTATGTAATAATGTAGTGGTGGTGGTTTGTGTACACTTACTAAAAAATTATTCGGCACCCGTGTCATATTGTATCACGCCGTAAGGGTGCCGAATAATCTTTTATTGGGTGTACATGACCCAGGCACCCTATATCCTCAGCACAGCGTTTGTGCTTATAGGCAGTACAAGGTTGTGCCGTTTACACCATGACACATACGAGTATATACACCTCAGAAAATAACATTCACTCAGCTAACAACTCAACGTATACACCGTAGTTTTTTGCCGTCATTGATTACGTATGCATGTGTATGTACTTGCATACACACACACACACACACACACACACACACGTTGATATCAACGCTTGGAATTATCAACATAACAAATGGACTGAATCACTACACTCTTTCACGACGGAAACACTTTAGTTGTTCGTATTGGATAAATGCCGAGGATTAAGTGACATATGTAACCGACAAGAAATATAGTGACAAGTGTGGGACTGAGAGAAAACATAATGCTGTCTTGCGAAAAAAATACAGAAGACGTTCATTATATACGTGCAGAGAAAAATTTGCGATGATCTGGCAAAATAGAAAACCTTAATTTAAATCACAAAACATCTATATCGCAGCTATATTGCTTTTCATTTCTAATTATATTTCCCAATATGTAACACCCAAAATATAAATATATTAAAAGCATTAAGAATATTATTACTACGATATTCTAGCCCCCTAAACAAAAATAAAAATAAAATAAATCGAGAAAATAACTTCAGTATTTAGAATAAATTCATAACTCTTAAACTTACTCGTCATTCATAAAGATTAGCTTCGAAAGTTCACCACAATTAACTAGAAAAAAAGTTATTCAAAAATATTTCTAGTTTGTTAAATTGGTCGGATCAAAAACCCTCGTTGCGACTTATTTCACGAATGTTACTCAGTCTTGCCATTGCGTCACACACACACACACACACACTACTGAGAACCATCCACCACCCTCTCTCTCTCTTGCCTTAGCCTCGGTCACTCCCTCATAATCCAACGCAACTCCACTCGCCACCATGACTCATTTCTTGTTGTACACTAGGTAAACCTCTCTGTATACCCTACCCTTTTGTTTCATACTTTCTCTCTAGGTATTCATTCTATCTCTATCTTCCTCTCTGCCTTTCTTTATATCTCTTTCTCTTTATCTCTCTTTCTTTATCTTTCGCATTTCCCCCTCTCTCTTTCTCTTACTTTATCTTTCTTATTTTTCCTTTGTCTCTTTCTCCCTCTCTCTTCTTCCCTCCCTTCGTCATCATCTCACTAACTGTACCATCCTTCACATTAAAAAAAAAAAGTTCCGTTGCACCCCTAGTTCACCACGGCCCCCCCCCGTCCCTCCCTCCTTCCCTCCCCCACTCCCATCAACGCTTTCACTTCCTTGGTGTTGACCCTCGAGCCAATTGGTAACACAAATCATATATTGTTTTAACGATTCTAGGTGGAATTCTTTTTTGGTTTTGCCTTACGCCCTGACAAAAGCATGGAAGGGCACATCGGTATATCTCTACAACTTCAGGTATGCGACCGTATGCAGCAATCAAATTTATTCATGTATTATTGGTTTTACAGTCATACATCATTAAACACAAAATAAGTGTCGATAAACATGTCTGCTTGAGATACATTTTTGACTCTGATTTAGCTTGTTGTTAATCTTCATCATTGGCTCATTTTCATGGCTTAGTCTTTGCGGTCGGTTTACACAGTAAGGTACCCGTGATCCACTGCAACAAATCTCTAGTTCATACATCTATTGCTGAGAGAGGTATAACGCTTAATTGTTGATAATTAAGTTAAATATTTTTCTCAGTTATTCACTACGACGATTCATACGTATTATTATCATGGCATTGTTATATGAAATCATTGAGTTTAAGAACTTCCTGGGTGTGCAGCCGTTATTCATTGGGTCATAAATGCAACCCCGTCGTAATCGGACACCCTCCTATCACCCCTGGCGTAAGTAACAGTTGCAGGAGGAGGGAAGGGCATACAGCATGACCGATGCATGTGTGTGCGACTTAGGGGGTGGAGGGGTTGTTATCATAGTGGCCTATTATTTCGTAAATGCACAGAATGGTTCAGACCTCTAGTACACGCTGGGATTACTACCCTATTCTGGGATAACACATTCTACCCATAATTTGCGTTTTGCCCTACGTATTTATACCCTTGCTTAATTATACCTTGCGTTGTAACTGTACAGGTAACTGCTTAACTCTCTCCTATCCCTCTAGCCCCCTTACACTCTGACACTCCTTAACCTCCTCCGGCCTCCTCTTCATATTCTCCCTCCTTCCCTCCTATTCCCTCCCCTCCCCTTCCCTCAGCTTCCCTCCTTCATCCCCATCTCCCTTTTCCTTTTTTTCCCTCCACACTTCCTTACACCATCACCCTCTTGTTGCAAAACAAAGAGTTGTGTCTGAAATACGGAAGGAGGAAAAAAAATCCAGAAAGCGACTTTGTTTAGGAGGTTTAACTGCACCCATCTCCTGTCATGGCCAGTGTCAGAATCACCCAGAAAGGTAAATCATCCCCCCCCCCCCGGTGCTTGTGTGGGGAGGGGGGATCAAAGATGTGTGGTTGCAGCCTGCTCTCCA